GGCTATACGATATCGTGAACCAATATAGCCCATCTTCGAACTTGACCTGCCTACAGGCAAAAGACTCATCTGTGCAAAATTTTAACTTAATATCTTTATTAGTTTTGACTATAGCGTGGAGGGAGGAGGGTTTAAAAAACTATAAGAATCTTTGAAATGGGATCTCTTTTTATACCACATTTGATTAATTTGATAATTTTTAATTTACGTTAGAATAAGAAACAAGATATTGGGAAGGCTCAGCGTCGATCAATCAATCAAATTTCCTCTGATTATACAGGGTGAGATAAAAGAACTGCAACAAAGTCAAATGCTATAATTTTTAATTTTTTTAATTTTATTGAATGAAAGCAAAAATGTCGGAAATAGCATCAAATTTTAGAATAAGTTTAGATTCGTTCGAATTGGTCACCTTTGGCACGAATTATGATGAATGAAATGACAAATGAAACCGTCACACGCTGCCCGAATGTTGCTCTACGGTATTTTGGCCCATTCCCGGCGAAGTGCTTGCTTGAAGGGATCGAAACTTTGGTATTTTTAAGCGCCAACCTTGCTTTCCAAAATACTCCAGAAACTATAGTCCAACGGATTGGTATCCGGAGATTTTGGTGGCCATTGTGCGCTGGAAATGAAGCGAGGAACCTCATTTTGTAACCATTCTTAGGTGGCGCGTGCTGAGTTGTGTTGAAATGTCCAAGGTCTGCGTCAAAAATGTTTGCGTCCCCAAGGCTTTAATACACCCTCCAAAATATTTTCGCGATAATATTCGGCATTTATTCTCATGCTACGGTCGTTTAATACGAGCGGAGAGCGACCATCGGCTGTTATGGTGGCCCACACCATCACCATGGCCGGAGCTTTTGCTTTTGTAAGCTTGTAAACAATATAAAGAGCTATCACTGGAATAATTTGAACAGCTGTCGGACGAGTGGTTGGAAATGACAGCCGTCTGAAGTTGGTTGCAGTTTTTTCATCCCAGCTTGTATAGAGGGGTATAAAAACTATTGCTAACCTGAAAACGACAAGTCTATGTTAAGTGTTAATCTGCTTACAAATATAGGTTTCAGGTTAAAATGCAAGATTGCTCATTTATAGTGACATTGCTATTTCAAATACTTTTTATAATCAACAATCTTGAGCAATATAGAAAATGCATTAACGTTTCGTGTGACAAGCTTATGTGTACTCAAAACAATGTTAATATCCTTGAAATCCTTACTGAACAATTGTGACATGTATTTTAATGCAACTTTTCGTGCAAGGTAATGCGACTCGATAAACAAAGTCTATAGTGACTCATCTGATTATAATAAAATAAAAAAAAAAACAAACTGTCCCTTTTCAGAACTTTTCCAGCTACTAACCTATTTTATATATTTATCATTTCAGACGCAAACCAAAATAAAACAAAAAATATGACAATTATAGATATAAACAAAACTTGCATAAGATCCCCCTCCATTCGACAATGAGTGTCACAACAAAACTAGATGCAATGAATATGGAGTAAGTCACTTGGAAACACTGATTGTAGAGAATGGAAGACAGATCCAATGCATCCCAATGATGTTGTGACCCACATATTCCGTCTTATCATTTTCTTGATGAAATACGCAGAGAAAGGCAGAGAAAGAGAGAGAGAAGTTTTGATGTTTTATGGATAAAAATAATTACGATCATCCTTACATTTCATTTCAGCTATGTATGTATGTGTGTATCTGTATGGTTTCATTGTTACGGACTCTGACTCTTAAGAATTTCGAATCTCATATAATTATAAATATAACAATTCAAAATGAAATACTCATTCCAATAATAACATCATAAATAAAAATATTAAAAAGAAAAAAAATTAAAACTACAATGCACTGAACAAATAAACAAATAGTAGAAACAACAAAAAAAACATAAGTATATTATCCATACCCCTCCAAGAGCAGAACACACACATTTGCTCATAAATAATGTGGATATGAAGACCAAAGGAAATTTTCGAATCGTCGTAATATTTATTTTTTTTCTTTGTGGAACAATGGAGGCGCTAAGTAATGAATGAATGAATCGACTCGATTCGAAGAATGGTATTGGGCCAGTGCCCAGACACTGTAGTCTATCACATGATAGAATATTTCAATATTTGCAAATCTATAAAAATATTTAATAGCTACTACAAACAGACTGTTCTTGTTTAGGTGGATGAGACATCAAAACAGTGAATCAAAAATATTTAAGTTTAATAACAATAATAACAAAAATCTTCCTTTAAAACTCAATTCCAATTTGACTTCATTGAGAAAAATGTTATATACATCAATAGCAATAAAATCAAAGCGGGTTAAAATATAAGGAGTAGACCATATGTTATAAACATTTTTGAGGGCATATTCCAGCAGAGGACAACATTAACAATTAAGAGTATGAAGTAACTTAACATTAATTCAACACAAATGTTCCAAAAACAGAGCTATAGTATATATTTATATATAATCTAATCTATATATTTGTAGATTTTTTACAGAATTTCGACTAAGGACATTCAGGGCTATATTTGTAGATTTTTTACGGAATTTCGACGAAGGACGTTCAAAGCTATATTTGTACAAAATTTCGATGAAGGACGATGATGGCTATATTTGTAAATTTTTTACAGAATTTTGAGAAGGACGTTCAGGGCTATACTTGTAGATTTTTTTACGGAATTTCGACAAAGGACGTTTAGGGCTGTGTTTGTGGATTTTTTCCTTTTATTTTCTTTCAGAATTTCTTTAATGGATTATTAAAGAATAAAATCAAGGATTTTAAAGAATCTCTTCAATGGACTAACAAGATGATTATCGGAGATGTTTTAAAGAATTTTTTCGAAGAACTAATATATATATTAATTCGTGGATTTTTTAAGAATTAATTCAAAGAACTAATAGTCCTTTAATCGTGAATTAAATCAAAGGACTAATAGATCTTTAATCGTGGATTTAAAGGACTAATACATTTTTAATAGTGATTTTTTTAAGAATTTGTAAAAGGGGCTATCAGGGCAATAGTCGTATATATTTTTTTTTAAATAGGCTTTCCTTATTTTTTAAGATTTGTGTTCGAAGGACTATCATGACCAGTGGTGGAGCATTTTTTCGAAGAATTGTCAATTCTTGTTTTTTTTTATTTTTTTTTTTTTTTGTAATACTAGCAGGGTTGTTATAGAGATTCTTAAACGAAATTTGATTATCAGTACGATGACCTTTTCCCACACTCTACACCAAATTTAGTATCATTTAGCACTTTTCGTTTACGTTATAGTACGCATTTCCAAGTTAGCCTTTTTATTTAAACGCTTCTCAGTCACAGTGTTCTTAATACCCAAATTTATAATTCCAGTTTTTTTTCCCACACTATACTCCATAGATAGCACCATTTAGTACTTTTCGTACACCTAATGAACGCATTTCCAGAACGACCGCTCTCTATTCAAAATTTGAATATGCCACCTTTATCCATTCACCCAGAAACCATATTGTACTAAACTTCTAACAATTAGTACCCATTTCCAGAACCACCTTCTTATATCCACCCTACCTTCTAAACTTGATTCTCATATAAAAGTTGGAGATTAATGGTAGCAAATTTAGTGTATTTTAATCCACAGTCAGATTCCCAGCTCTACAGGGTGAGATGAAAAAACTGCAACTAACTTCAGACCGCTGTCATTTCTAAGCCACTCGTCCGACAGCTGTTAAAATTATTCCAGTGGCAGATAATTATATTGTTTACAAGCCTACAAAAGCATGGTGGTGATGTGGGCCGCCATTACAGCCAATGGTAGCTCTCCGTTCGTATTAATCGACCGTGGCATCAGAATAAATGCCGAATATTGTCGCGAAATATTCTGGAGGTTGTATTAAAGCCTTGGACACGCAAACTTTTGGCCGCAGACCTTGGACATTCCAACAGGACTCAGCACCATCGCACTCAGCACGGGCCACCCAAGAATGGTTACAAAATAAGGTTCCTCGCTCCGGATACCAATTCGTTGGATTATTGTGTCTGGAGTATTTTGGAAAGCAAGGTTGGCACTAAAATATACCAAAGTGGTCGATCACCTCTAGCAAGCGCTTCGGCGGGAATGGGCCAAAATACCGCAGAGCAACATTCGGGCAGCGTGTGACGGTTTCATTGGCCGTTTGAAGTGCATAATTTGCACCAAAGGTGAGCAATTCGAACAAATCTAAACTTATTCTAAAATTTGATGCTATTTCCGACATTTTTTGCTTTCATTCAATAAAATTTAAAAAAAAAATGTAAAAATTATGGCGTTTGACTTTGTTGCAGTTTTTTTCATCTCACCCTGTGAGTATTTATATGAAGCGAATTTTCAGATCCACTGGATACGCCAATGGATCACCCATTTTTTGGTATAAAATACCAGAAACACAAAATTTGTCTATCTGTGTCCACTGTTTCAAAATTTATGAACGCATAAATATATTTGTTCCTTTTTCTTCCCGTTCTACCATTCAACAAACTTAATGATTCGCAAAATGTTCAACACATTAATTAAACACAAATTTAACAACAAATAACGGCAGATAACCGAACAAATATATATAGGTATCGAGAACTTGCTGAAGAGATACCCAATTATAGATCGCCTTCTTAACTGAGAATGAAAATTAGGTCGGAAGATAAGTTGTTGTGTGAGTGCTGCTGAGCAAGTATGTGTTGTTGCCAATGCCACTGCTCTGCGAATGCATGTGCACAGTGGGCTGGTCATAAACGGCGATGATAAGACATCGTTGTCGCCGTTAGCTGTCATAACCGTTAGAGAAACTTTGCCACAATTCACAAATAAATAAAGAATACAGTCGTATTCCCCAAACCATAAATAGAGAGCAGAGCCACACAAAAGCAAAGAACCATTTTGCCGGATGAGGAGTCCAGTAATCATTTCTAATACTGAAACACAACACAAAAAGTGTATTCGAACGAACAACAAAATACAGATACAAAGCTGTGCAACAACAAAAACAATGTAGCCCAGCTAAGCAACCCCACCAATACCATCAGCGTTTCGAAATGGGAGCAACCTCGTCGAAAAGTATATCTGAATTATTTGCTTTCTAGTCAGTCGCAGTAAAACAGATCGCCATCATTCACACATCAGTGTGGAGATTTTAATAATTGAGGCGACATTTTTACGAGCGTTTGGAGTGCGGATTATGGCATATCGTCTGAAAACGGCCAACGAAGAAGCAACAGTGTCAGATTGAAATTGCAACACCTCGGGAATTTCATTCCAACTCGTATTTTTTGATGAAGTTAAGCACTTGACCACCAGCCGGGGTGTTATGGTGACCAAGGATCAGGTGCTTGTAATGGTATCAGTGGTGGTGGTGGTTGTGTCAGAAGTGGTGATGGTGGTTGTGCCAGTATCTCAGTGTTAATGTGCTTGCGTGACTTGATTTGCATAACGCCAACGTCGTCATACTTCTCCGAGTCAAAAAGAGTCAACTTATGAGGTGCGAGGTCAGTCAGTCCGTCAACCAGCCAGTCAGTCATCTATCCAATCCAGCCAGTGAAAAGAAAAACTATCATAACTAAAGAGAATCAGTCAGCCAGCCGACTCACCGACCGACCGAACGTGTGCCACAACAATAGTTACTTCTGCCATTGTCCTTATTCTGAATGAATATCCCCCATCCACAACAACAACAACAACAACAGAGACTTGAAGTTGGCGTTGTGTTCTAGTCTCTGCATAGAAAAGAGGCCTATTACTACTGACTACAAATTGTTGGCGTTGTTGTAGTTGTAGCACTGACTGACTGACGGTTGTGATTGTTGCCATTGTGGCGCTGGCTGGTTTCCACCTGGATTTGTTGTAAATGAGAAACAACGGCGGCAACACCAACAACCTAGAACGGAGCAACGGTGCAAAGCCCTAACACACTACTTAGACTTTTGGAACAACAACAACGAGAACAACGCCAGTGGAGAACAGCGGAGGAGGCCAGCTTTTTGTAAAAGCCACCAAGGAAATGTCTCGTCAGTCGCGTCTAAAGAGTTTCAACGAAAACAGCTATTCATGCTGAATGGCTCAGTTGAAAGCAGAAAAAAAAGGAATCCACAACGCTAAGTAAACAAACAACGACCCCTGGCTGGCTAACGGCTTGGCTAGATGCACAGAACCAGGACCCTTCGAAAAGCACAGGACTAGCAAGCCCCTCTTTGGGCCACAACGGAGCAAAAAAACTATTGTGGGATACCTCAAATTCTCCAACAGCCGCAAAAACGCTTCTTTGGTTTTTTTTTTCTAAAAAAATATGTGTTTTGTAAATGTCCGTGGCGAACGACAAACGATTTTGCCAAAACAGAAATTACCACAAAACCAAAATACCCGGTATATGAAAATTCAAGGTGAATGTTCCTCTGTTCAGTTCCGATTTTTTCGCAAAAAACATCCAAAGCTTCTATGAACTCGGCAAATAAAAGTGTGCAACAAAAAGAAGCAAGAAAAAAAGCCGGAGGATGAGAATATTATGAACCTGTTGTTCACCACATCAAGGGTTCAACAGAGAGTGTGTTGTATACATATAAGAAAATTTGTATATATATATATGTGTGTGTACCTATGTGTCTGCCGTACTTGTGTGTATATTTGTTTGTCGAGGATATTGTTGAAAAAGAAAAAAAAAAAACAAACATTCACAAAATTCATCTGGAAAAAAAAGTTGCAATTAATTGACCCACATTTTTGTTGTTCAGTTTTGATTTAAAGTGTTTTGAAATAAACATCGAAAATAAAACGACCAAAAACAAATCGTTTGTGATCCAAGCTGAATTAAAATAAAGTGAATACACAAATAGATACAAGAAAAGAGAAGACGTGTTATGCTAAAGCGGGATTACATCTGCCCAAATGTTCATGTCTTCTTTGCTGGAACAAATTATGAGGTCTAAGGCTCAAGCGAGAAAATTTAGTCAAGGTAAGTGAAAGAAATTAGTTAAATGTTTATGTAATTAACAATTAAGGATTGAAAATAATTATTGAAGAATTCAATGATTCAAAATATATACTTTGCTATAAAAATATACCCATTTTGACATCCCTTTCTATAATTTAGTTTAAAAAAACCTTTTGAAATCCATAAAAAATTACATAGCACTCAATTTGATTCTACTATCAAAGTACGTCCCTTGTAAGCCTTCTACACCAAATATGCCTGTGAAGTCGTTCAAGGTTAATCGGGTTGCAACATTTTTCTGGATTTCCTTTCATTTCTGAAATGTTCGTCCTTTGCAACTGCCCTTCTGAATATTCGAAGTTTTAAAGATTTTTTTTATATCCTAGTCAAAAACCTCATTTTTGATATCATAGATTTCTAAAACAGGGATGGGGCTCCATAATAAACATATTAAAATTAATGTCTATAAAATCTGGGTCAAACTACTTCTGGTATCTCCCCCATAAAAACTAAAAATGTTTACCTTTTTTAAAAAAAAAAATAATGTCCCATTTTGTTCAAACGTGGCAATACTTAATATTTGTAAAGTGCCAAGTTAGGTGCGAAATGGACAATTTCGACCCTCTCCTGTTATAGTAATCATAACTTATATGAAATGTGAAATAAGTGTCAATTTGTCTTCGAATTTTACACATCCAAATGTTTCTACAAACACAAGATTTGGTGTGAAGATGAGATATATTGGTCCTCCCTTTCTGGTACCTTCCCCACAAAGGTTCAATATTTTGAAAAATTTCAACTCTCATAAAATGCAAAAAACTTTTCCGAATGCTTTTCAAATCGGGTAAAAATAGGACACTAAGCGAAGTTGTATTGAAACTAAGCTAGGAAATGCATTTATGTTTGGTATGTATCGGCAGAATTTCGTAGATAACAGCGTTTGATGTTACCTATTTGTATACTCTCAGCTAATGTTCGATTATTTTAATATATTTTGACTTCTGTCATTATTGTTCAAATTGTGGATACTCTATGGAGTAGGTTCCGAAGGAATGGACCAATATTGTACATTTCGTATCGGGCCTAAATAAATATGATATAAATATTGGGACGTGCTAATGTGCGAATGTTAATTTCGCGGTTTATGAGCTTCATAGATATTTAAAATCTTGACCCTTTGTGGGGGAGGTACTTGATGGAGTGGACCAATATTGTCTATTTTCGCACCTGATTAAGCACTGGTGGAAATGTTAGGATTTGCTAAGTTGAAGAGAGTTATCGTGCGCACCAGCCAGATACACAGACAGACGGATATCGCTAGATCGACTTCAAATGTCCTGAAACGGATTTGGTCAAAAGAGACTTAGGGTCTAAAAACCATTATTTCGATTTTGGCCGTATCAAATGATATATACCCTCTCTCTAGCCATATAGCTGAAGGTATAGAAAGGTGACCTTAAATGGGTTGGCATATATAATTTTCTGCCAGAGATGGTGAAAAATACCGACTTTAGAACAACTCCTTAAAAACAAGTAGCTAAAACTATAAAAAGGACCTAAAACAGGGTGTCATTCCTATATGGGGTTTATACCAGAGAAGTCCGCAAAAAATTGTTCGTAATTATTTTGGGGATTATGTACGCTACTTTCTGGGATAATTTACGATTTTTTTTTTTGGACATAATCCCTATTACAATAATGGGGATTATAACTTTTTTGATCAAAACCCCCATAATAAAATAGAGATTATGCCAAAATAAAAAAAATCGTAAATAATTCAAAAAAGTTTCGGACTTAAACCCCATTATTTTTAACCTGATTACGGAAAATGTATTTCTTCGTGGGGTAAGTATCCGGTTTTCGACCCGAAAGATCGGATACAGAATTGTATACTGTTCTACAAAACTTATGTGTACAAAATGGGTATCATTCGAAAGCCCAACAACAAGTTTGGCCCGTTTCCGGAACAATACAAGAAAATGGATAGTTTTGTACCGGAACTTTTTGAAAATCCCCTAAAAACTCGAAAATGGACCCGATATAGAGTATTAAGGTGTACATACTACATTGTGCCAAGTGTGCTAAAATCTCTTGTAGTTCCGAAGATTTTCATCATTAACATGTGTCTAACTTTTATAGCTTTTTAAGTAGCCGGTCTTCGGCCGGGGTTTTGAGATTTTCCGGGGTATGTCCAACACCAGGTATTCGTTCCATAGTTTTTTTAAATTTTTAAACTTTTGTAACTTTCGATTTCAAAGACAATATTTTCGGAACTACAATAGATATGAACAGATATGAGACCAAAGGCTCTGAAGCCTGGTACATTTCCACAGAAGGAGAGACGGCTAAATGGATTTATTGGGGTTAAGAACGACTTTTTAAAGTCTAAATTATTTCTAGGAACAAAAATTCCTAATTACAAACATTTTATTTAAAATTTGGAGGGGGGGGGGATTGCAAAACTTTTGAAATTCCGAAACCCAGTCAAAAATACGATACTTTAAGTTAGGAAGGGCTTGTATCCTATTAGAAACTGTTCGTTAGAAATTACATCTAAACTTTTAAAATATTGTAAATCGAGAGGGATCTCTATATGACGACTACACCGAATTTTGAATCCACTTTGAAGTCTTTTTGTAAAAGAGATGTTTTCCATTGGGAACCCGTCATGTCATATGAAACTGATTCTTTAAGAAAAATTGTTATAACACTTAATATATTAATATCGGGCGATATATTTAAATTTGAGCTCTGCAACAACTTGTGACTTTATGACATATTTTCAATACCTATTCCAATATTTAGAGAGCAATATTTTATCTATGTACTCAATCCTTTCATGGACCGGCGGCAGACAAACGTGCATTGCTATCTCTTAGTAGAACTTCATGTCAATTTTTAATAAATACCCAGCATTATCGTCCAGTTCCAATTAATGTGCTTCCCCCTCTAGTTTTACCAAATCAAAGTACAATTTCATTTTTTTTTTGGTTTGGCGTTTTTGAAAAAAGTCTATTATTTTTATTTTTTGCCGGGTATATTTGATATAACTACTATACATTGAAGTCCTGGTTTGGTGATCTTATTTGTAACATACTTCAAAAAAACGGGTAACTTTTTCTCCAAGGTAACTTTTGACCAAGCTGGGCAATGAAATGGTTTGGGGGAAGTCTTATTGTTAATAAAAAATATAATTAAATTATAATACAATAATCCCCTTTGTCATGGCATTTAATATATATCATGCTGTTAAAAATTTACGGAGGACAATAACACATAAATTCCGTAAATGAGATAATGAAAAACAAATTCCATTTTGTCTTATTCATAAAGTAGACGACCTTCAACTAAATGCGAAACGGAGATATACAAAAGTCGAGTCATGGCGATATCGTCATCTCATCCCATTTGGCAGCATCAGCTAAAAGGGAAACGGAAAGGAAACCACCATGTGCTGTGGCGTGGGCTGGTGATCACGACGACATTAGCGTGGTGTTTTTATCAGTTTCAGAATATTTATTGTGAAATTCCTACAAAGTTAGTCAAAATAAATAAATACAATGAAGGCGTACATACAACAACAGCTCTACACAATAACAACAACAAAAATTAACACAAACCAAATTATAAATACTTCTATAAGAAGATGATAGGCGTTGTGAATTTTATCTCCAATATAAATACAATATACGGAAAGGAAGTCCCTTGCTCAATACCAGGCACTTAGAAACCGAAACCTAACAATGTCATAACCTTAAAACCATATTCGAAATCAACAAAACGCTTCATTTCGATATTGCTGGCTGGTTCTCTAAAGTGAAATGAGACGAAACGATGCGACAATCAGTCAGCAGTCACTTGCCACTATTACGAAGTTTCTCCGTCTATTTTTCAACTGCGCATGAAACGTTTAGTGATTCCTACAAACACCCACTCACCCATTGCTTCCTACAGCCCTCATTTCGCAGAATAGAATTGTAGTGGACAACAAAAAGCAATACAAACACAACAATCATAATAACAATGCCTGGGATGCCTGACTGACTACACTGATACGTTTAGATATCATGCTAATCACAGTTAACTTGTACATGTGTAAATATGTCGAGGACGACATTGAAATTGCAAAACACATGTAAGTGCAGGGCTACTGTTCGTTGTGATGTATGGGGGTGGAACGATGTGAAGTTTGTGAAGATGGAAATTTTGGTTGAATGTGTTATGGTTTCTGTCTCTAGAGGAAACAAAACAGTTCTATGTTTTTAGAATATGCCATCCAGAGTTTAGGAAGAATATCAGGATTTATAAGCAAGCTAGTAACACTGTGCCCAAAAATGAGTTTTTTTTTCATAACTATAGGGATAACCTCGTGCTTCGCAAAAATACGATAAGTCACCGGAGAAAAGAAATCCCTATTCAAATTTTATTATGAGTCTCAGAATATAATATACAGGGTGAGATAAAAAAACTGCAACAAAGTTAAACGCCATAATTTTTACATTTTTTTTCAATGTTATTGAATGAAACAAAAAATGTCGGAAATAGCATCAACTTTTAGAATAAGTTTAGATTTGTTTGAATTGGCCACCTTTGTCACGAATTATGGACTTCAAAATACCAATGAAACCGTCACACGCTATCCGAATGTTGCTCTGCGGTATTTTGGCCCATTCCCGGCGAAGCGCTTGCTTGCGAAGGTGATCGACACTTTGGTATTTTTTAGTGCCAACCTTGCTTTCCGAAATACTCCAGACACAATAGTCCAACGAATTGGTACCCCGAGAGATTGGTGCTGGAAATGAACCTCATTTTGTAACGATTCTTGGGTGGCGCGTGCTGAGTGCGATGATGCTGAGTCCTGAGTCCTGTTGGAATGTCCAAGGTCTGCGGCCAAAATGTTTGCGTGCCCAAGGTTATAATACACTTTCCAGAATATTTTCGCTATAATATTCGGCATTTATTCTGATGCCACGGTCGATTAATACGAGCGGAGAGCGACCACACCATCACCATGGCCGGCG